AAATTCTTCTGTCTAAGGCATGCAGATTTGCTCCTGTTCCCACGTGAATCCCAGCAGCTGTCCAACACAGTGCCAAGGTTTCTTGTTCAGAACAAGAAAATCTCACGTTCTCTTTCCTTTTTTCAAATATTAAACTTGATTGCCCAACCTGCAGCAACCTTTCACCTTCAAAGTGCAAGGGACCATCCCTGTAGGTGCTTGGGGTTTCCATTGGAGCTAAGTAGGGAAACAGAGGAGCCCATCAGAGTGTTATTAAAGAGCTAATGTGAAACCATTGCCACTTTTTAAGGAGAAGGTCATTTAACGGGTGCTGTTGTTCAACGACAGGCATGCCGCAAGTTTCGGGATGATGCTACGTGCAAGGACACGTGTCCCCCATTGGTGCTGTATAACCCCACCACCTATCAGATGGATGTCAACCCCGACGGCAAATACAGCTTTGGAGCCACTTGTGTGAGGGAATGTCCACGTAAGTTCATTTCAGGTCGCAGCCGCAGAGGTGGGGGGGGGTGAAAGGAGGTGGGAAGGGACCTGTGTCATACCTCGGCATTATGGTCAAGTGCAAGAGCACTTCCTTGTTCTCCTCAGCTTCTGTGGGAACAGGTGACAAAAATGAGAGAATAGCTGGTAAAGAAGACAGCCGCTTCAAACTGGCTGTATCCATCACCTTCCCTAATTTTTAACCATTAAATTTTGACTTCTGAAGATTTTTCTTTTGAAGAGGAGTGGGGGGAGGGAAAGCATCAAAACAACGTCCAAACAAGTCATATGGAATCAATCCTGTGGATTACCAAAGCATTATCAACTCTTAAATGGTTCTTAATTAGGACCGACAGAAAGTAATTGGTTCAAACACTCCCTCTCAAGGCCTGTGATCATTGCTTCCTCTGCAGATGCTTCCTTTTTTCTTTTATGCTATTCCATGTCCATGTTATTTTAACCCATTGAGACTTATATGTAAGGGAGGGTTTAGCTTACAGAATTTATATCCCTTTCTGAGTTTGACCTTAGCCTGGAAGAGTGAGTGAAGGTGAGGGATCAGAGGTGCCGTGTATTGATCCCAATCATGGCGCTGCTGCACAGCCTGACCTTGGCAGTTATTTTACCTTTCTGTGATCATTTCCCTCTCTGTACAATGGTGATAGCATTGTATGTCTGTCTACCTTCAGAGGATGTTTGTGAGAATTAATAATTAATGCTGTACTTAGCAAAGTATGCTAAAAGTTCAAAACCCCTTTTTTTTCCTAGTATGGAAGTGCCAGTTGTGGTGGGTTGACCCTGGCGGGGG